TCATGTGACACATCTGCATGAGACCTTTGACATCTTGAGAGCCTACGAGATGAAGCTGAACCCCGAAAAGTACACCTTCGGCATTATTTCAATAAAAGTGCACTTTCTAGGCTTCATGGTCAACAAAAGGGGTATTAAGGCCAAACTAGACAAGATTAGAGATACTGGAGATGAAGTCCCTAGCTTCAATGAAGGAGGCCCAGCACCTTAACAGGGGAATAGTAGCCCTTAGCAAGATTGTCTCAAAATTAGCAAACAAATGTCTACATTTCTTTAAGATCATCCACAAATATTTTCAGTGGGGACCAGACACAGAGGAAGCCTTCCAAAAGTTAAAAGCCTACATTGTTACACTCCCCTTGCTCTCCCGTGCCATACTAGGAGAGACCCTATATTTCTACCTCTCCTGCTCGTCCTCTGCCATGAGCCCCATCCTTGTCAAGGAGGATGAAGGAGTCCAGAGGCCAATATACTACGTAAGCAAAGCGTACCGAGGAGTGAAGTTAAGATACTTAGAGCTAGAAAAGTTGGCCTTTTCATTTGTCATCGCCACTAGGCGCCTATAACATTACTTCCAGAGTCATACCATCGTACTTGTTATAGATCAACCACTCAAGAGAATCTTGCAAAAGCCTGACGTGTCCGGTCGACTCCTCAAATGGGCCATCAAGTTGAGCGAGTTTGACATGCAGTACCAGCTAAGGCGGCCGTAAAAGCACAAGCAATTACCAACTTTGTGACCGAGTCTACACCACCACAAGAATCCCAAGGAGAAGTACCACACCCCCTATGCTGACCTACCCAATACAAAGCACCCTAGACACCATCCCCAAAAAGCCTGGCGCCTTGGAGGTAGCCTTTCAGGCCCCTAAAGACCACACTCTAAGGCCAAAGGCCCCTAGCTCCCTTGTACCTTCTCCTCCAGAGCCCTTAGCGCCCTCTCTACCCATAACTCAACTATTGTACTCCCGCCTGAGTGCCCTGTTGCACTTAAGCAGGCATCCCTTACTTGCACTATACTATGTTGGAGACTATATGTCGATGGATCTTCTACTTGCAAAGCCGAACTGATCATTCCTATGACACTCCACTCAAGTATGTTGTCTAACTCCATTTCGCAATATCAAATAATCAAGTAGAGTACGAGGCCCTCATATCAGGTTTGAAGCTTGCGATTGAGATGCAAGCCCTCTACCTGACAACTTATAGCAAATCCTAGCTGATAGTCAACCAGGTAAAAGGAGATTTTGAAGTGAAGGAGGAGAAGATGCAAGAATACCTATCAATGGTCCAAGCCTTGTTCAAAACGTTTAACCACTTCCAAATCTACCATCTGCATAGGGAGTAGAATGCCATGGCAGATGCTTTCACCAAGTTCCCATCTACAAACATGTTCATGGGCCCAGCATTGACAGGCCACCAATTTGAACCAAGCAAGCTCAAAGTAGAGAAGTACGATGTTAATTATGCATCCCTTGAAGACAATTGAATGACCCATATTCGAGCCTACCTAGAGGAAGGAACTCTCCAAGAGAATCCAGGGGAAGCCAAAAAGTTAAGAATAAGAGCATCTAGGTACGTCATCCGATGTGACACTCTCTACAAGAAAAGCTATACACTTCCCCTACTCTGCTGCCTCTCCCCCCAAGGAAGCCGATTATGCCATCAGGGAAATCCACGAGGGGATATGTGAAAACCACTCAAGAGGGCGGGCACTAGCTCACAAGGTAGTAAGGCAAGGATATTACTAGCCTAGCATGATCACAGATGCCCGTGAGTTTATGTGGAAGTGTGACAAGTGCCAGCACTTTACAACAGTGCCCAGACAGCCACCAAAAGAACTCACCACCATCTTAATCCCCATGGCCCTTCTCCATGTAGGGGATCAATACCCTATGTCCCCTACCCATGAGTCGGGGCCAATGCAAAATTGTGGTATTAGCCATTGACCACTTCACAAAGTGGGCAAAAGTCTAGTCCTTATCCAAGATAATAGACCAGAAGGTGAAGGACTTCATTTGGAGGAGCATAGTCTCCCATTTAGGAGTACCTCATGTTATAGTAAGTGATAATGCCAAACAGTTTGACAACAAACTTCATAATTGCTTCTGCGCTGACCTACAAATCAAGCAAGCCTACTCCAGCCCAGCCCATCAACAAGCGAATGGGCAGGCAAAGGTGACTGTCAGAAGCATCCTCCATAACTTGAAGACCAAATTGGAGAGAGCCAAGGGGCAATGGGTGGATGAGCTTCCAAGAGTACTATGGGCTTTCCAAATAACTCCAAGAAGCCCTATAGGAGAGACCCCTTTCTCCTTAGCTTATGGGACAAAGGTAGTCATATCAGTCAAGATTGGGGTAAATTCCCATAGGGTCCAACACCATGACCCTACCACTAATGAAAAAGGCCTCCACATTAACCTCGACTTAGTAAAGGAGGAGAAGGAGATGACTATGCTCAGTAATATAGAGTACAAGCGTCGCATGACCAAGTACTACAGCTCGAAAGTGAAGCCTCGCTCGTTTGTGCCTGGGGACCTAATCCTCAAAAAGGTCATCCTATCTACCAAGGACTTTCGAGAAGGGAAGTTAGGCCCAAACTAGGAAGGACCCTACATGGTCACAGAAGTTGTAAGACTAGGGCACCTACAGAATTCAGAACTATGAGGGAAAGCCCCGGCCCATCCATGGAACACGAAAAACCTGAAGATGTATTACCAATAACTAGGGGCAAGTCAGTAGGTGTAAAAGTCAGCATTTATTATTTAAATTATCTTTTGTTTTTTTAGTCAATTTTGTTTATCTACTTCAAATTATGAAATAAAACTTTGCAAGATTATCTTTTTCAAAAATTGTTTCTCATTCCATAGAAGTTCATAAACTATTTACAAAAGATAGAACATGACCCAACAACAAAAACAAAAAGATAAAGGTATTACCCTCTTGACATCACTCATTGCTGCCCAATCCACTCTCATCAAAGCTCTCCTCATCACCATCAGTCCCTGGTGCCTCATAGGGGACAAATCCAGAAAAGTCAATGCCAGGGAAAGCCATTGAGATCTTTCCCTTGAGCTCCTCATAACCATCAATGAAGATGCCTGCAATTGCCCTCTTAACAGCCTCCCTCCTTTCCTCAATCTCAATGGAATGAGCCTCTGCCCTAAAAGCTCTCTCAAGAGCTACTCACAGGTCAGCCTCTGCCATGGCAGCCCTATCCCGAGTTATCCGTAGCTCAGTCTCTGCTCCAACGGCCCTCTCGTGGGACGCTTGTAGCTTTGTCTTTGCTCTCGCACAAACAGCCTCCTTATCAGCCTCCAATTGGGCGACCCTCTCACGGGACACTAGAAGCTCGGTCTCAAGAGGTGCATCTCTCTCGTGTCTCGCTTGAACTAGTCTTCAACAGCCTTTCATACTTGCCTCTTGAGCCCCAACTATTCTTCTGAAGCCTATCGTGCCTATCTCTCATTTGCTAGATCCCTGAATGCTTCTCCAAGCTTCATCATCCTTGAAAAAAGGCATAAAAAAATGACAGTCACCTGCAAGAATTCCAAAAAATCAAGACATGAGAAAAATGAGGCAGGTACAAAATCAAAATGAATTAAAAGTCATGCCATGACAAATCCCTCCATCGCGGTATCAATAATGCCCTTTAGACCATGAGAGCCGACCTCTCTGATATCCACAATGATCACTTACCCCAAAGTCATTCCTTGGCCAGATTCGCATCCCACAGCATGGACACTAAGTCACTACTGGAAACTAGACAACTATGTGGAACTCGGGACCTGGCAGATGGCCGCACAGGAGTCTCGACCCATAAAGTAGTAGCCTAACTAACCCTAGCACTCGAAGGAACTGTGTGCTAAGAAGGAATAGGAGCACCCTCTAATCTAGCATCCTGGGATAGAACATAGCTATTGGACTGCCAAGAGGCGCTTGGGGCATCAACCTTCACCCTCTAGGAAGGAGGGGAAAATGCCACCTTGGAGGCATAAAGAGCCTCTGTCATTGCTCTATTAACAGTGGGACTTCTGAAGCCAGTGTAAGACGAAGAACCTGTAATATTATGGTTATCAAAAGTCTATTGGAAGAATCAAATACCTTTCCTCTTCTGCCTAAGGGAGGCTTTAAGATGACCCAATGCAGACATGATGGTTGGAAACTCCTTGAAAGGATGATCTCACACAACCTAAAGCCTACTCTCCTGCTCTAAAGATAACGTGGATGGAGTTGCAAAAGGACCAAGCACACAATAAGTACAGGGACATGACAATCAAATGAAAAAATGAAGGAAAAAATCCTTACCTAGCTTGGTCTTCGGAGCAGTGTCCTACCTCGAAGGCACCAGGTCATTGTCTTCTTCAACTGCTCACTCACCTCCACCAAAGAAGAATCTATATTTTCAACTATAGCAATTTGAAGGCAGTCTAGTAATGAATTTTCCCGACCTTGGCACAAAGTGGTACCACCCCTAATGAGGAGTAGGGTTATCTAGAAGTGCATACGAGGCCAAGAACTTCTCAAAAGGAGGAGGAATGTTAGTACTAAGGACCAATCGCCATAGCGAGAAGAATGCCAGAATCACCCTCCAACGGTTGGGGTCAACCTACCTAGGGCCAGTGATACGTGTCCTAAGATCCAATAGATGGGCCTGGGTATAGGAAACCTCAACCCCGCCTCCATGACGTCCTCGTAAAAAATGATTTCTCCTAAGGAGTCATAACATGCTAGTTTGTCCCTCTCGGCCCGACAACACATAATAGCAGGAGGAATGTGGTACAAACATATGATGTGGCCAATATCGTTGTCACAGTCAATTGAGCTAGAAATAGAAGATATCTTGGACCCATCGCCTTCAAAAGCTCCTTTGCCTTAGCACAAAGCCTGTGTAAAATTTGCCATACTGCCCCTACCAGATCGGGCACCTTTCAAAATTAAAGCTAAGGTCAAAATTCTAGTATCAAGTAGACACTAAAGCAAGAAAGTCAAGTGGTCACCTCAACTTCACAAGTTCTCGCGCCCAGCCCGCTTGCGTCGTCTGGCTTGCGACCGTCATCGCCCTGTGCCTGGCTGGCGTCACCCATCGCCTGGTGTCGCCCTTCTCTCCTTTTCCTCTCCTAGCGTCACCCCAATCCCAACTATTTCCTAGTGTCACCCGCATACTAGGCCTGCTTGACCGAAGCTCAACATCGACCAACATGCTGGCACTGCCTAGCGCCTTGCTAGCGTTGCCTAGCAATTGGGTCCTTGTGCTGGCATCGCCATCTATTATGCCTTCTAATGCAGTGCTCCTACTTTCCAACACACACAAGGCATCGCCCAGATCCCTCATCTAGCTAACATTGGCATCGCCTCCTACCTGTGCTGCCTCATCGCCTAAGCTTCTAGTCACTTCAGTGCTATTACCCATCCCAATAACAGCGTCACCCAGCGCGCTGGCATTGCCCAGCAGCTCGTTTGTTCCCCTGATGCCCGCCCAACAACTCCGCATATGTTTCTTTCTCTAAGCTACCGCACCACCTCGCCTGTTCCCTTGACACCGCCTCTTACCACCTTGCAACCTTGGATCACACCGCTCCTCTCCTTTGATAGTTTTTTTCTTGAGGCATCATCCATCGAATTCCTCTTTCTTCAATTTCTCCCCACTGTCAATGGGAGTTTGCAACTTTAATGGGAAGGTTTGTAAGGAAAAATGGAAAAAGGGGCTCTTTAAATGTTTGACCTCTTGAAACCATAAAAATGATGCCCTAAGTAAGGAAAAAAAGGGGGGCTTTTGAGTAAAACGACGTGAAGTCTCCTCTAGACTGGGAGTAACTCGGTAGGTGTCCGACAGATAAACAGGAAAAATGAGAAAGTAAGCTCCCGAGGTGTTGAAGGTTGAGGAAGCTACCACCATGCGGAACAACTTGTTCAAATGAAGGGGCTCACTCATGCCCTCAATCTCTTGTCATCATAAGGGCTTGGGGGCATGGGGGCAAATGATGAGCTCAGATCTAACTAGGTTAGGCCCAATTAATTAAGTAAGCTCAAAATCAGCTACAAAGTAGGTCGAGCCCAGCTCATGGATCCAGTCCAGTCTAAAGCTCAAGGATTCCAAGAAGATTAGTGCACATGGGAATTAATTATCGGGATAGTCATTACTTCAAGATAGTGTCTATCCTCAATTGTAGCTATCATCCCCGATAGATTAGTCACCTATCCCTTCACGCCACCACCTCAACTAAGGCTCTATGCCTATAAATTGTAAGTCCTCTCCATAGGAAAGGGGCACATCTCTACATCCCACACATTGTCATCTCTCTCATAGCTACTTCACCACACCTATGGGTTACTCATGCTCTCTCTCTCTCTCTTTCCCGTCAACTACTTTATCAGTAAAGTCCTCCGACCACCATTGCCGCCTTTAAAGTGGAGTATGTCACTCTTACAAAAAAACTCTATATCTATGTTGCTTGGTGGATCTCATCTTTACATTTACTACACTTATTACCTATATTAATTACTCGATAGGTGGTGCATAAATTCCCTTTTGTGCATCATCAATTAGCACTCCACCATGACCCCCTAACCACTACATTCAGTTTTCAAGCATGAATGATGGAGGGAAGAAAAGAAAATAAGAGGAGAGGGGGAGTGGTTGGAAAGGACAATGAGGCCATGCTTTTGCTAAATTAGGAAGGAATCTTGGATAATCTCTCTCCAATCAACAGATCTTAGCACTTTTTAGAGGAGGGAGAGTATTATGCATGAAATTTATGCAAGAAACACATTATCACATTCAAGCTTCTAGAGAGAGAACCTCCTAGGAAGAGGAACCGTTGTGTTAGAGAGAGAAAGCTTGGTTTTTGTATTTTCTTGCTCATTTTCATCCTAGTAAGTTTCTAAAGCCTACAATTTTCATTTTCAATGATGAATGCATTTTGTTAGAGTTTCACTGCGACATCGGGTTCAGTGAAACTCCATTTTCAAGTATTTGAACGTTTTGTGCTTTAACTTCAATGTTTTTGGATATTTGATCAAGTTTTAAGTTGTTTACCCTTTTCTTTGGCTATTTTAAGTTAGTTTTTGTTTCCTTTGCAATGTTTTCCATTGTCCTTGGTAATTTCATTTCATCTATGGCCAGCTAAACCATTTGTTGGTGAAATCCAAGGAAGGATTTTCATCTGGGTATGTGAAAATTTATCTTCACACACATTGTCTTTTAGTATAGTTTGTTGAATTTGACAATTTAGATTGCAACATATAGGTTTGTACACATTTGATGCACCGTAGACTTGTCACAGGGCATGCTTATCGTCCCTTCAAACACATATGAATCAATCTTCCTACGGATCAATTTAACACCAATACCCACATTTAGTAATTCTTGATTTCCAACTCCCATATTTTGATTGAACAAAAAGACTTTTGAGTTCAATTGAGCTATAAGGAGGATTAATTAACCATACTCGGTGGGATGAATTCTGAGGATTAGTCAACCCTTTTTATTTATAGATTTTCAAACCTATAATCTAATGATTCACCAACACTTTCAAAGAACCAATTTTTACTTTTATTTTCAAAATCACTTTGGAAACACTTAGTCTTGACCTTCC